AGCCCACTGGGCCGGGGGGGGTCCAGCCAAGCGCCAGTCCCTGCTGGGGTGTTGGGTCTCGGGCAGCGTCTGTAACATATGATTCCCATGCCTGCCTCGGTTTCCTCCTTCACCCTCCATGGTGACCCCGTGGGGGGAAAGAACTCAGCTGGTCCCTCCCCGTGCTCTCTGTAGCTGGGCTGCCCCATGTCCCCATGCAGACACTGCCTCTTGGCGGGGGGTTTACCACAGTGGTGGGGAGTCGCTGCAGTGGGTTCCGTGTAGACCTAGTCCAGGCCTGCTCCCAGGGCAGAACAAGAGCTGCGTGGGGGCAGGTGTCAGCGGCTGACTGGGCCTTTACAGACCAGGCTGAAAATCCAGGGGGACTCCAGCCAGAAACGAATGCCCCATGGCCTGGACAGCGGGCAGGACATGGGAAGGGGTTGGGTGAAAGGGAGAAGGGCTGCCCTTGGGTGGGATTTGGAGCCCTCCCCTGGGGGAAGGAGGGAGCCAAGGCCGGGAGCAGCCTCCGCTTGGCTGGCCCTTGAGGGCAGCAGCTTGGCCAGGTGACCTATCAATGGCTCCTTGTTGGGCAAAGGTGGCCAGTGTGGTTGTCCATACACTCGGAAAGCCTCCCACAAGGGGCTGGCTGGGCTGGATTCACTCTGGAGCGGGACAGGGAGCGCTGGTGCCAAAGACACATGGGCCTCCCCGTTACAACTGTGTGGGGTCTTGGGGCCCGGCCTGCTAAAGGGGTCACTCCCGGGAGACTGGCTACAGGCTGGGGCATAGACCAGACCCGGTGACTGTGACAGCCCCGGATCTGCCACTAGGTGGCAGGAGACTCCATAAAGTCTCAGCCAGAAATCCCCAGCTCTGGGAGGGGAGGAGGGTCTAGTGGGTAGGACTGGGAGCCAGAGCTCCGGGGTTCTCCCCCACCGCTCTGGGAGGGAAGGGGCGGGGAGGGGGGGTCTAGTGGGTAGGACTGGGAGCCAGAGCTCTGGGATTCTCCCCCACAGCTCTGGGAGGGGAGTGGAGGGGAGGGGAGGGAGGTCTAGTGGGTAGGGCTGGGAGCCAGAGCTCTGGGGTTCTCCCCCACAGCTCTGGGAGGGGAGTGGAGGGGAGGGGAGGGAGGTCTAGTGGGTAGGGCTGGGAGCCAGAGCTCTGGGGTTCTCCCCCACAGCTCTGGGAGGGGAGTGGAGGGGAGGGGAGGGAGGTCTAGTGGGTAGGGCTGGGAGCCAGAGCTCTGGG